CCACCTGCTCTTTAGAAAGGGCACAGATTAGGAGAGAAGCAGCTGCTGATTGAACATGTGCCATATTTAGGGAGGACAAAGGTGTAGGGCACAGGCTGCACACTGCTGGGGTGGTATAGAGAAGACAGATGAGGACAGGTTTAATCTGGGGCAGCACACAGCTCAGTGATAGAGAACTTGCCTAGTACATACATGCCCTAGGTTTATATATATGCATGAATCTTGCTGATTTATTTATTAAGTAATTTTTGACACAGGTCTTATTCTGTAGCCTAGACGGACATACTCACCAGCCTCCTGCCCCAACTTCCCAAATGCTGTGATTACAAATATGACCCACCATGCCTGGCTGGAGCAGACATTTTCATCAATAAAAAGTGACTAGGGAAGGGCACTAACATGCATAAAAATTATTGCATGAAGAAAGCTTACATTTCCTCCTGGCCAGGACCATAGCTTTTTTGTCAAATACCGGAATCTAAGGCTTTAATTTAGTGACCCAATGCCTCAGCACATAGGCTGGAAAAGGTACTGTAAAGAATATACATGAGCCTATCTATGTGATGGAATATACCTTTATTTCTAGCACTTGGAAGGCAGAAGCAGGTAGGTCTCTGTGAGTTCCAAAACAGCCAGCCCTAGCTACATAGTGAGATACTATCTCAAAAACAAAACAAAACAAAACAAAACAAACAAACAAAAAACAACCCACAGACACACAGACTATATGAGAGGAGAGAAACACAATAACACAATGATAGGAAAGGTAGAAAGATGCATTAGTAAAACAATAAAAAGAACAAAATGACTAAAAATAAAATTATAAACATTTAAGAGCAAGTTGCAAAACAAATATAGTATGGTGCCATTTATATGAGACTGAAGAACATGCAAACTAATCCTAAGTACTGAAGGCAAGCATGGGAAAGGGAGAAGAGGGCACGAGGCTCAAGCTTGGGGCGTGCCAAGGACTGCCCTCATCCTGCTCCCTACACTGTAGCCACACACAGGCCTACTTTTATGTCCTTTGCTCACTGAACTTGCAGAGTTTTAGGACAGCCTCTCCCACTTGTTTCTTTTCTCATGTCCTCTCTTTTCAACATTTGAAAGATCAGAAATTTCTCCGGAACCTCAATTTTCCACTTTTTCTTGATAGGCAGGCTCCAAGCTACATAAGCAGTATGAAAGCATTCTACTATTTAAGGCCTCTGAAGCCCAACGCCACTCAGCCAACCAAACCTGGATATGCAGTCACCTGCACCTCAGGGTCTCAGGGAGATGCCCACACTCCACCAGTTCTGCACCCCACCCACTCAGACATGTGCCTTCCTGTGGTTCCCTTCCCCACACACAGGAAACTCCATTTCTAAAGGTGCGCAGACCAAAGACCTTTGTCTTCTTTCTGGACTGTTTTCCTTTTCTCTGCCCTCATGTAATCTGGTCAGCTGTCCTCAATACAGAGTCCAACTGCTTCATCTGTATTGGGCCACTACAACAGCCACTGCTTTTCTTTGCTTTCTCAGACAGTCTCACTGTAGTACAGGATTCTCTCCAACCCACGATCCCCTGCCTCCACACAGGTTCTTCACTGATTTCATCTGCTCTTCGCCCAGCTAGCCAGCCTCATCACATAGCAGCCAAAAGCTATAATCATTTAAGTCATGCAGTATCATCCTCTTCTCCAAAACCCTCCAATACATCAGAGTGTCTCAGAAGAAAGCCAGAGACTCTTAGAAAGACTATCAGTTCCAGCCATGCACACAGGAGGACAACGCCAGATCCCAGACAGGGCTGGCGAAGATAACACTACCGCTGTGAGTAGTCTCAGCTCTTGGACTTCCTGGTTGTTGTCTCTCTTCTTATAATGTGAAAAAGTATCCAGACAGGCACTTCACATTCTGAAATGCTCAACAATTCCTTTACAAGCTCCATGTCACTTTATCAACCCACGCCTGAGACTGTCTAATCACACCATCCCTTTCTGCTGTCTGTACTACACTTCATCACAGGAGGGGTAGACACATGCACAGCCTAGCAGGGTCTTTTTCTCACCAGCAGAGGGCACCATATCTCACTATAGAAGAGCCACCATGTGAGCCACCATGTGGTTGCTGGGAATTGAACTCAGGTCCAGAGGAAGAACAGCCAGTGCTCTTAACCACTGAGCCATCTCTCCAGCCCCCTGTTCACAGTTCTTAGTCCAGGGCCCTCTTGAGGCCTTTATTCTTCCAGCTTCAATGAGACATTCCTGTATCTCACTGTACATACACACACACACACTGCATGTATAAATTCTAATTTTTAAATTAGATGAAGGATGTTTTTGCTTTGAGTTATGCACTTCTTCCTATGATAAAGAGCCATATATTTCGATGTAACTCTGGAAAGTGTGTCAAGGGCTCATGTTACAGGACATCCCCCCTGGCTAGTAGCACCATGTTTCAAAGCTATGGAGCCTTTGGAACAGGGTGCCTAGGAGAGGTCTTTGAAAGCAGAAGCCTGGCCAAGCTTCTGCCTCCTGATCCTCCAAAAGCTAAAAAAGCAGGCATCATGTTCTCCTGGCCCCAGACGATCTGCTCCACACCATGCCTGTGCCGCCATGATGGACTCTAATCCCTAAATCTAACACTTCCTCCCTAAATTTGCTTCTGCAATGTCATGATTACAGGAGAGAAGTAACTAGCACTACCCACGGAAGCTGCAGCTCTTAAATTCCTATCCCCAGAGGATGTGGTACATGAGCAGCAACTTTAGGCAATCTAGTCCAAAGGGAAGAGGAGAGAAAAAGAGGTGAGGAGAGAATTCCCATGACAGGAGGGATTCTTAACAAATACTCAACCTAGTTCTAGAGAAACTCAATAACATCTACATTCAGGAAGGAAGGGGGGGAAGGGAAGAAAAGAAGGGGAGGGGAGGGGAGGGGTGGAGAGGGGAGAAGAGACACCATCCGAGCCTCTAGGCAGCAATCAGACTAACAGCTGAATTCTAGCGTTAGCGGCTGTAACCTCACATGCTGCACAAGTATGAAAAATACCCGGGCAGAAAAGCAGGTTTTTACGGACATTTGTGAGTCGGCTGAGAACACAGTGGGAGGTGGGCATGAGAGGACAGGACAGGCTGGGACAAGGACTAACACAGAGCAAGTAAGTATTAAAAGGCATCTGCAGCAGGTGCAGTCAAAAGAGTAAACGCAACACGATACCAGATGAGCAAACTGCCTATGACAGCATCAGACCACAGGACTCCTTGGTTCGGGAAGAAAGTTTGGAGGCTGGAACCCTCTCAATTCAACCTTCTATTGTAATGATATTTAAAAGCTGTACCATCTCATCACAAATCCATTTCAAGTAGTTATACTTCAGAGAGTTCATCTTAAGAGTGGTGACAAAGTAAGAATTGATAGTATTTGTTTAAACAGACAATCATATTCTGAAGCAAATTTAGCAGAATGTGTTTTATATAAAGAGCTTTAAAAAATAAACTAAGGGCTGGAGAGATGGCTCAGAGGTTAAGAGCACTGCTTGCTCATCCAGGTCTTGAGTTCAATTCCCAGCACCCACATGGTGGCTCACAACCACCTATAATTTGATCTGGTGCCCTCTCCTGGCACGCGGGTGTACATGCAGGCAGAACATTGCAGACATAACAAATAAATAAATCTAAAAGAAAAATAATAAACTAAGCTCATTTTCTAAAAAAGAAAACAAAAATTCTGAATTATAAACAAGTATGGTATTCAGCACCTAAGAAGTTCTAGCTCACTTCTAGGAACACATGCAAAACAGCACAGGCATGATAGAAGGCCCCACACACAGCACTCCAGGCCGCACGGTGAAAATCAAGATAATCAACTATGCAGCAGTGACCACTATGTTAAAATGCTGTTGGAATATTACTTGATGCAATGCAATTTAAAATAACAATGGATGAAATAATTTTTTTTCTTTTTTAAGAATATGGGGTTGGGATATATAGGTCAGTAGCAGAGCTCGCACCCAGCACACTCAAGGACCTGAGTTTAAAACAATGGTGTGGGGCTGGAGAGATGGCTCAGTGGTTGAGAGCACTGACTGTTCTTCCAGAGGACTGGGGTTTAGTTCCCAGCAACCACATGGCAGCTCAACCTGTCTGTAGCTCCAGTTCCAGAGGACCTGAAACCTTCACAAAGTCATACATGCAGGCAAAGACACCAATACACATGAAATAAAAATAAACAATCAAAGAAGAAAAAACAATGGTATGTATTCACTACTTAAGAGTGCTACATACAAAAATATTTTTATAAATTTTGGTTAGGTTTTTGCTTTTTAGTTTAGTTTTGTTTTTCAAGACAGGGATTCTCCATGTAGCCCTCGTTATCCTGTGACTCACTTTGTAGACCAGGCTGGCCTTAAACCCAGAGATCGCCTGCCTCTGCCTCCCAGTGCTGGGATTAAAGGTGTGTGCCACCACACCCCAACTCAAAAACATATTTTATAAAACAAAATGTAGGTGCATGCATGTTGTGCACGCCTTTAATCCCAGTACTCAGGAAGCAAAGGCAAGCGGATGTCTCAGAGTCTGAGGCCAGCCTGGACTACATATTGTGTTCCAGGCCAGCCAGGGATACAAACAAAACAAAACAAGCAGGGCATGGTGGCACACGCCTTTAATCCCAACACTCAGGGAAGCAGAGGCAAGCAGATCACTGTGAGTTCAAGGGCAACCTGGTCTTCAAAGGGAGTTCAGTATAGCCGAGACCACACAGAAAAATCCTGTCTCAGAAAAAAAAAAAAAGCAGCAACAACAACAAAAACACCTCACACAAAAAACAAAACAACAAAAAAACTAAAAGATAAAATCCCAATATTAAAAAAAAAAAAAAAGTGTATAAGGTAAAGGTATTCACCTATCAGTGGTGAGATGAGTTGTTTATTTCTAGGTTGTTTTTGTCAAGTTATTGTGTGTATAAACTTCTAAGAGTACCCACTGCCCGTAAGCATCAGAAAACATAAACTTACTTCATCAGAAGCAGAGCGCAGACACTGGACAGCAGCCTGCTTTTTCATCTCCTCTAGTGTTAGATCAGAGCACTTCTTCTTACTCCTTCCCCATTTCTTATAAGCTCCTTTCTCCCAGCCCAAGATGTCATTCTCCTGCAATGAGATTGCACCAGGTTAGATGACTAAGACTGGAGAACCAGTTTAAAGAGCCTGCACACAGCTGCTTACACATGCATTTCCTACCAAACACTCACTCACAGGATGAGCACCTTAGAACCAAGCACTCATTTGGAATGTTTAGATTATTCAGCACCTCAATAACCTGACTCCTTGCGGTGGTAAGAAATGCCAACTGGCAAACAAGTCCACCATGTTCGTGCATAAACAAAAATGTAACTGAAACCCAAAATAAATTCTATGCTACACACTAAATTCTATAATTTTCAATACATGAATGAATACCAGGTTATGGTAAGGTTTTACAGCTTGACAGTTAAATAGTCAAATTCCTACTTCTACTTCTCTATCTTACTATCTAAACCCCAACAGACATAAAACATTTTACAGGGATTGCTAGTTTAAATTTACACAGCAGCCAAAAGCTGGAATCCTTTAAGTCATGCAGTATCTTCCTCTTCTCCACACCCTCCAATACTTCAGAGTGTCTCAGAAGAAAGCCAGAGACTCTAAAGACAATTCCAAAAACAAGAAGGCAGAAGGGGGATACCAGCCATGGCACTGCCATTCATGATGAACAGGAAAAATGGAGTGTGCTTCAGTTAGTGCTCCACGTGCTTTTAAAGGATACCTCTAAGAATTCATAGTAACACTTGCATAGTTTTTTATCCCCGATACAAATTCTTTGGCTATACAATATCCCAATGTAAGTTTACCTAGCTCTTTCCTTAAAGCATACATTTATGAAATTATTTTCTATCACTTTCCTGGTCTGTTTTGCTTGCATTTGATAAGTGATTAAAACAGTAGAAAGACAAGATGCAAAAAAAGACTGGACACAGCAGAAAATGACTGAGTGAATAAAGTTACTATTAAAAAGGGCACTGATCTCAGGAAAAAGACAACAGAAATGAAGGACATGAGATATAAAAGAAAAAAAAACACAACTATAAATTCAAACCATCTTCTTAAGAGCAAAATGCAAACCATCAACTGCCAACCCAGTTTTCACTGGATCCAAAACATAAAAATGACTCTTCTGGTGCGAAATGAGTGGGAGCAGATCACCCCAATGTGCCTCTCACACTCAGAACCAACAGTCACTTGCTGGTCAGGGTTTTAGATCTCATTTTTTTTTTGGGGGGGGGTGAATGATGTTATTTCCATTTTCCAAGGAAACAATGCTGTTGGCCAAATGAGAATGATCAGTGTTTCCATTTATTGATTGTGTTTAACTGGACTACATCTGAGATCCAGCATGTCTTATCTATGATATCTTCTGGACTCAGTGTTCTCTGGAACAACAACACAGGCCAGAGTTTTAACAGTGTTGACTCAGAGCTTCAAGAAAGACAGAGAGAAAATGCTCTAAGCCCCTGTGGTTCACACTATTAAAAAAAAAAGGCGGGGGTGGTGGGGGTGGGGGTGGTCTGGAAAGATGACTCAGCAGTTAAGAGCTGGCTGCTCTTCTAGAGGATCTGGGTTTGATTCCAGCACTCACATGGCAGCTTACAACTGTCTGCAACTCCACTTCCAGGTGATCCAATACCCTTTTCTGGCCTCTGTGGTCACCAGGCATGAAAGTGGTATTCAGACATATGTGTAGAAAAACACACATACACAGACAGTAAAAAAACAAAAACAAAACTGAAGAGAGAAAAGGAAGGAAGGAAGAAAGGAAGGAAGGAAGGAAGGAAAGAAGGAAGGAAGGAAGGAAAGAAAGAAAGAAAGAAAGAAAGAAAGAAAGAAAGAAAGAAAGAAAGAAAGAAAGAAAGAAAGAAAGAAAGAAAGAAAACATGCAAGAGGGTCACTTGCAGAAATGAATGGAGCTTAGTTGTATCTGGGCTGAGATTAGCTTTCCTCTTACTGGGCATCCAGATCCTGAAATCTATTGCAGCTCAACAGAGGTGACGTGCACTCAGCAGTCTGAACACACTGCAAACTCACAAGGACATGCAATCTTCCTGAAGCACAACTTGACAGCATGTGTCAAACAGCTTAATCATGTGCTTGATCCAATAAGTCAATTTCTGGGAATTCCTAAGGAAATAATCACTAATGTAAAAGATTTAGCAAAGCTATGTTGACATTGTCAATAATGGCAAACAAGGAGAGACAACCTAAATGCCAAATAGGAAAGCATGGCTAAATAAGTCATGATTCATGCAGACAGTGGGACAAGACAACTTCTATAGGGACCTGATGTGGACTGGCATGGAAAGCTATGGTAGTTTAGTACAGTGTAATCTTATTTCAGTCACTCAATCTCTCTCTCTCTCTCTCTCTCTCTCTCACACACACTCTTCTCTCTCTCCTCTCTCTCAAACACACACACACACACCTGAGAAGAACTACATATTATGAATATGTTCCCAAGAAACAGAACAAGATTTTTATCATTTATACTGTTTTCTGAGTCAGAAACTTTACATTTCAACCTTCTAAGTTGACAGAAATAAGAGACCTGAGCCTGGTACCTGGCAATAGCCTTAGGTTTCCTGTCTGGCAGGTCTTTGTACTGGAGAAAGAGCCATCCTCTTTATAGTGGGTTTTCCCTTTGGCATTAGGCTGCAACACTGAATACAACAAAATCTCCACTTGCTGGGGAGGTGCAGTCTAGCAGGAAGAAAGAAGCCAACCATTCTGAGATGGCAATCATTAAGGAAACGCTGAAGAGACATGTTCTCTTCTCAGTCTGGGAGATAAACAAAGGTTTCCAAGGAGGAATGCTCATGAATGCACGCTGTTTACACTGACTAGAAGTCTAGCCAGTGAGGAGGCAAACTGTGCAGAAGAAATAGTGTGCTAACACAAGGCACAGCAAACAGGCTCTGCTAAGAGTTTGACTGAAAATATTTGAAGGTAGACAATTTAAGGGAATAATGTAGGGAAAAAAGAGAAATATTTCCAAAAAATGTACTGATGAAAATTTAAATCTAAGTCAGTAACGATGGTGTGTACTGCTGATGTGATTGCAGGCTGCTGTCACAGCTGCACGGCTCTAGCACAGAGGCCCTAGGCGGATCTCCACGCTAAAAGATGACTAACTTTTCAGAACAGAGATAACATCTGACTGACTGGACTTGAAAGTGAGCATTTCCTACCCAAGCGAGGCACAATCATGAAGCTATGGTCCCAGATATAAGATATGCAAAGACTGAGGCAGGAGGATGACTTGAACGTAGAGTTCCAGACCAGCTTGGGTAACATAACAAAACTACTGTAAGAAAACAAATCAAACTCAATAATTACAAATATGTAATTGTAAAGTGATCTTTTTCCTTTCCAGAAAGATACAAATTTGGCAAGATGTACATAAAATATACCATTTTAGGAGAAAAGTATCATGGCACATAATCTGCAATCTCAGCACTTAGAAAGCTGAGGCAGGAGGATCATGAGCTTCAGGCCAGCTTGAACAACACAGTGAGTAGTTAGACTATTTGCTACAGGGTGCGACTGTTTGAGAAACAAACATAGCACCGGTGAGATGGATGGCTCATCAGCTAAACCTGACAGCCTGAGTTATATTCCTGAAACTCACAGTGTAGAAGGAGACAACCAACTCCTGCAAGTTGTCCTGTGGTTTCTACAAACATGCACTGTGGCATGCCTCTAAACACACACACACATACATACAAAATCACACACACAAATAAATAAATGTCATCATACCCGCCCCCACAACATCTTTTTAGGTTAGGTATAATACTGACATTTACACAATGTAAACTTTTGCTTAATTTTGGTATTGGGGATAGAACCTCGGGCCTGCACAAACAAACATTTACTTTTTCTTTGGTTTTTGTGTACCCGCAAGGCTACACAAAAGGCATCACTATCTAACTTTAAACATTTCCTCAACCTAAAAAGAAACCCTGTGCCTCTGATTACTTCCCATTCAGGCACAGCCCTGACTATTCCAGATGCTAACAATGAAGTCATGAAATGCCTGACCTTTAGGTTTAGCCTTCCACTTAGCATGTTTCCAATGCTCATCTATGCTTTCATAACATGGATCAGTATTTCATTCCTATATAGGACAAAATTAATATAAACTGTATGGTTGGAGTGTATTTTGTATACTCACTCATCCACAGATGGATGTTTGAGTTATTTCCACCTTTTGACTGGCAGCCACATTGCTATGGATACTCAAAGGCATGTCTTGGCATAGACACCAATTTTCAATGCTCTTGGGTACAGATAGAAGAAGACAGACAGAAAGACATGCTAGACTTCATTTGAACTGTGTTTGATCGCTAAAGCACTACTAGGGAGTTTCCAAAGCAGCTTCTGTACAGTCACAATAGCACCTTGCCAACATCTCTGACTGTCTGTTCTTTACTGTAGCCACCTGTAATGACAACTGATGCTAACCCCCTTCCTGTGCACTGTCTGTGACAAATGGAACATGGGGCCTTCCCCCATGCTGAGCTTCAAGAGTCCTAACCCACCTGCCTGCACATCTTCACCTCCATGATGGTGTTATCTGAAGTGCCAAAGGTTGGTAAGGGCTTATTAATTTACATGTCCCCTGGAGTCTTTTGTCTCACATTTAAGCAATCACTGCCAACACCAAGTTGTTGTTTTTTTTTTTTTAAGATTTATTTACTTTATGTACATGAGTACTCTGACCACATGTACACCTGCATGCCAGGGAAAGGCATCAGGTCCCAGTATAGATGGTTGTGAGTCACCATGTGGTTGCTGGGAATTGAACTCAGGACCTCTGGAAGAACAGTGCTCTTAAGCTCTGAGCCATCCATCTCTCCAGCCCCAAGACAGGATTTTTCTGTGTAGCCTTGGCTGTCCTGGACTCATTTTGTAGATCAGTCTGGCCTGAAACTCAGAGATCCACCTGCCTCTGCCTCCCAGATTGCTGGGATTACAGGCATGTGCCATCATGCCTGGCTTTCTACAAGATTTTAGTTCTTATATTCAAGTGTCTGGTCCACTGGGAGTTAACTCTTCAATATGGCAGGAGGCAAGAATTAAGCTTCATTTTTCTTTTTTAGTATCATAAAAAATAGAATAGAATGCTTTGTGAATCTGCATGTCATCCCTGTATAGGGGCCATGCTAATCTTCTCTGCACTGCTTCATTTTATTGTACATGAGCACAGCTTTATCCTGTTTGGTGGGTATCCAGGGGCCCCAGGACCATACACTGAAAGGACGTTCTTTCCTCATTGTTGTTAACGACAGACGAAAGGGCTCATTATGACTTAAGACCCCTTGTCATAAGCCAGGACTAAACTATGAGAGCCTTGTAAAATAAATCTGAAATAGGGAAGTAAATCCTCTAAAGTTGCTGTCTTTTTGTTTGTTGTTTCCAAGAATTTTGGGCTATTGTGTATATCATGAGTTTCCCATATAATTTTAGGATCAGCATGTTACTCTGCAATATAAAGGCGGAAAAGGTTCTGTGAATCTACATAAGTACTGCCATCTTAATGATGCCGAGTTTGTTCATCATGAACACATTTTCCCACTTATTGGGGTTTTGAGGTCTTTGCACATTTAATGCTTTCGTACAGAAGTCTCACCTTTCTGCTAAATATATTCTTAATGTTTTGTTTTCAAAACTATTTTAAATGAACTGTCTTTATTCCTTAAGTTACTCCTCACCCTTCTCCCTCCCAAATTTCAGGGCCTCCACAAACTAGGCAAATGCTTTACCACTGCAGTGTAACCCTAGCCATCTGTCCCTCCCCAATCTGGATAATCATCCCTTAACAGGCACCTATTTTCAATAAAATTATGTCAAATCTGACTAGAGAATGGCTTTGGACTCTTTTCCAATCTGGATGCCTTTCTTAACTATCCTGTTAATGGTCACTCATAAAGAGATTTTATGTGTTTTGTCTTTGATAATGTCCTCACACAGATAATATCAAATTCTGGCATTAACCAGCAAGCCTGAGTTTACTTAGGTATTTATAAAACTGAGTCTTTTCTTGATGCCCACTTGTTAATACACTGGCATGCTGTTGAAGCACACGAAGTGGCTTGGTAAGACTGATGACGAACATCTGTTAAAAATTTCACCACATTATGAGCACATAGAGTTGTTTACCATCTGAGTTTTAGGTTGAATTAATTGGAAACATAAAGCCTACAACAAAAGCTACATAAAAATATAGCACATCACATATAATTTTTGTGTTCTGTTCTTTCCACTTATTTCAAGAGCTCTCCCACTACATATTTTTGTTTTGTGTGTTATGTAATATGTTATAATTTATTAAACATTTTACTAAAATCAATATTAATTTATGAAAGTGAACTAATCATATTTGAAAACATTATAGTATAAACAGACCAAAATACTATTTTATACTGAATATAAATGAGTACAAATGTTCCCCACTGCTGAGTTCATGCTGAACTGGCTTGAGGGGGTCACCTAGCTGCACCTGCTGCACATGCTTGGTTTGGCTGCAAGCTTCAGTGTCACTGCTCTGCCTCTCTGGCTGCCTCCTCCTTTCAGCTTGGTTTTGACCTCACTCCTGGTAGGGGCAGATGTTGGTGACACTGGGCATCATGTTCCCACACACCGTCCAGAACCACAGAGAGCTCATTTCTCCTGACTCCAGTCTCCTGACTCTTGAGCAGACCCTTGAAGGCAGGCCCTCTACTTTGCTTTCAGCCACGGGGGCCTGAAGGGGGGTGGGCAGGGGGGATGTAAGGGTGTGAAGAACTATTTCAAGAATGGGGATCAATAGGGTGTGCTTTCAAGGATCTATCTTGTCCCTGACTGCTCCCCACTGTCCTTACTCTACTTCCTTCTCTGCTTCCCAGACACTAGGAGGCAACTACTTTATCACACTGTAAAAACAATGAAACCAGCCTGATACAGACTGAAATCTCTCAAACTCTGAGCCAAAATAATCCTTCCCTTTCAGGTTTTTCCTCAGAGTGTGTGTGTGTGTGTGTGTGTGTGTGAGAGAGAGAGAGAGAGAGATATGTATGTATGTGTTTATTTTGTCACATTATTGTTTTATGTTCTATGCACCACTAAAAGTAGACTAGTTGACAAACATAAATCAGTAGACATGTACCAAACAGTTCACTCAAAACACTGAAAAAGATCAAGAGTGTGTGTGTGTTTTGAAGCCCTCATCCAGAAGGCAGAACACAATTATCAAGTACCAAAAGCACACAAGGCAGAAGACTCCCCAGGCGACTGTCTATTTATTAGCAGCTGCTTTTCTACACACACTGGTGAGGTGACATAAGGTTAGGGCTTTGATTGACTTCCTCATGCTGTCTTCTGTCAAAAAGGAGATTGGGAACTGGAGGAAGAAAAGAACATGGTATTCTAAAATACAGCTGGTGTCACTGCCGTCTGCTGCTAAGCACCCACCCTTGCCTCCCACATCTTCCTGTTAACAGCCTCCTGAAGAACAGAGCCCAGTGTGCCTGAATGAGACTGTGCTCCCCCTCCCTCAGCACACACACTACCACTCACTTCAGGCCCCCATGGCTGAAAGCAAAGTAGAGGGCCTGCCTTCAAGGGTCTGCTCAAGAGTCAGGAGACCTGTCAGAAATGAGCTCTCCGTGGTTCTGGACGGTGTGTGGGAACATGATGCCCAGTGTCACCAACATCTGCCCCTACCAGGAGTCAGGTCAAAACCAAGCTGAAAGGAGGTGGCAGCCAGAGAGGCAGAGCAGAAGCCCCAGTGACACTGAAGCTTGCAACCAAACTAAGCAGGGCCAGCCAACTTCCGCATGTGCAGCTAGGTGACCCCCCTCAAGCCAGTTCAAGTTGGACCTTTTAGGCACTTATGAATGGAAACTATGACCAGAATCTAAGATGTCTGTTAATCCACTAACTTTCCATCCTCCTGCTTGGAAGAACTGATACGTGCTGCTGGAAGAAACAGAAAGCTGCAAACAAATGGCTTTTCAGGGCAGCTGGATGCACTCCTGCCCTCTACGTCTTCCCCAAACATAGACTGTCCCCTCAGTGGTCCCCTGACTTCAGGTGTCCAAAGTTTGCATCCCCACTACCATGTAGCTCTGCACTGCTAGCTGAAGGAATACTGGCCTCTTGCCTCAATGACTGAACTACAAATCCACACCAGAGCCAGCTCTTCAGTATCTTCCCCTGCTTGCTCTCCGCTCGCAGCTCCATCACTGACTCATACTATTTCCTGGTCCACACATAGACCCCTGGTACCTCTGTCCTCAAACTCTGGCCAATCCAGTGTTTTGTTGCTCTATAAACTGTCAAATACCTTTTAGGGATCCATCCTTAGTTGTCTCTGTCCAATACTGTGTTACATGTGTATAATGCTATAATATTTAAGTAAAAAGTAAAACCTGAATCTTCAAAATGTAATGCTTATCATCAAGACTTTTTTGTTCCACAAAAATATTTTTAAACACACACACAAAAACGTAAATGGGCTGGAAAAATGGCTTAGTGAGATTAAAAGCCCATTGCTGCTCTTCCAGACGACATGAGTTCTAGTCCTAGCACCCTCATCAGGTGGCTCACAACCACATGTAACTCCAATTCCAGAGGATCTGATGCTCCTCACCTCCTTAGGCACCCATACTCACAATGCAACCACACACACTATTACATTTTTCTTTTTTAATTTAAACAAAGGAGCTACAACGTTGTTCAGTTGGTTGAGTGCTTGCCTAGCATGCAGGATATCCTGGGTTCAATTAATAGCATCACATGAACTGGACATGGCAGTGCACAGCTATAATCCCAGCACTTGTAAGGTGGTGGCAGGAGAATCAGAAGTTCAAAGTCATTGTTGGTTACAGAGTGAGCTCAAGGGCAGACTAGGTTACATGAGGCCATGTCTCAAAAAATGAAATGAAATAAAATGGCCTACTGGTGCAGAATATAGACTCAGGTTCATACCATCAGCATTAGCACTGATGCTGTTCTGACTTGGACATTCAACATACATTCCTTCATTTTACACATTTCCCATTAACAGTACATGCTCCTGGAAAGTAATTCTATACCAAATGAGTAGTTTGGATTTTAAGCACACATTTGTTTCTGCCACCTTTATAGGTGGCTGACAACTGCAGGAGAGTGATCATGAGCACTGGCTGCTCTTGAGAGGATCCCACTTTAGTTTCCATTACCAGTGCAGAGTATCTCACAAACTGCCTGCAAGTCTAGCTCAGGGCATCTAAAACTGCCCTCTTAGGTCTCCAGGGAACCTGCACACACACATACACACACACACACACACACACACACACACACACACACACCCCTATACCCATTAAAAAAAACATAATGAAGATAAATTTAACAAGAACCATTTTTTTTTTTTTTTTTTTTTGTTCTTCCCTGACAAGACACAGTATTCTCTGTCTTACCAGAGCTAAGTAAAAAAGTACTTTTGGTGACTGGGGAGATGCTCAGTGGATAAAGCATTTGCTGTACAAATGTGAGGACCTGAGTTTGGATCTGCACAGCATATGTAAAAAGCTGGGCAGGCATGGTAGCAGCCAACTGTAATCTTAGCACTTAGAGGTAGAGTCAGAGAATCCCAAAGGCAAGCTTGCTAGGCAAGCTGGATTTGGCAAAGTCCAGGTTCAATAGTCCTGTCTCAATAAAGTGGAGAGCAGTTAAGGAAGTTAATCTGATGTCTGTCATAGGACTCTGTTTGTACCCATACACATTTAAACATACACACATACACAACACCCACCCCCAAATAGTACTTTAGGGCTGTTCCCATATAGGTCCTCCTTATAACTCCAGACATAGTTGTGCTTTCCCAGCTTTTGTCTGTTTGTCTGTAAGCAATGAACCAGAACTTGAGAGAAGGACCAAATTTGGGTGAGGACACACTGTTTCTCTGATACTGGATCCCAACTTTTTATATGAATAAGAAACCAGAGAACACCCGACCAAGTCTGTCAGAGCCTACACCTCCTTTGATCATGTCTACACTTCACTCTCTACACCTCACAGCACCTAATGTATGAGCACCTTGTTTTAGGAAATGTATTGATGGTGACTAAATCTTCTAGACTGAGACTCCTAACAAACAATTCTAAGAAGCGAGAAGTTAAAGTCTTACTAAAAACAACCTATTCACCATGAACTGAAGTATCTATGAGAAACTTCATTTCTGGAAAGACCATGCTTCCAATGAGTTTCTAATGAGAACTAACATCTTACCTGCCTCTCTCTATTTTACATTTTCTAGAAAGACAGCAATAAATTAAAAAGCTGATTCCAAAATAGCACATTTGCTGATTATGAAGTTTTTGATCCCTTCAGAACCTTACTTCAACTGGGTGGGTAGGCATATTATGTTCCCAACACTTGGAAGACTGAGGCAGGAATATTAGTTCAGGTTCAAGGCCAGCCAGAGATATCAAAGTAAAACAAAAGATAAAAATAAATAGATAAATAAATAAATAAATAAACAAACAAACAAACAAACAAACAGAAGACAAAACCTTATTTGACCTATTTCCTCGCTAGAGCAGTAAGTAACCTAGAAGCCGGGAAAGTATAGATGTGCCCAACCCAAAAATGCTAACACCAGCTACAAGAAAACCAACTCTGGGCAAGTGATGTGTGAAAATATTAGGAGCCTTAGAGAAAGCCTTTGTATTATTTATTGTACTAGGGCCGTGTGTGTGTGTGTGTGTGTGTGTGTGTGTGTGTGTGTGTGTGTGTCTGTGGTGTAAAGCCAGATTCCTGTCAATAAAAGTGTGTTTCTCCTGTCCCAAGAGGTGCTGTAGGTGTGGCTGCTGTGTCACATTGCATCAGTCAGAGAGCAGCAATGTCTAATGCTCAATGTTCTGACCTGTAGACATCTGATTAGTAGCATAAAATTCCCTGAAAAAAGCAAGCCTGAGGCAACCAGCACTCCAACACCATGAGGCCCCAGACAAGGAGCTAGCCTGAGATAACCACCAGCCCAGCACCGTGCAGCTGGACAGGTCATGCCTGAAATGACTCCTGACAAGAGCCATAACACATGAGCAGGGCATAGCACTCCAAAGACCATTCCTGAGACAATCCCAGACACACAGAGACCCTGGGCCCCACTAAGAGGTGCAAGTAAGTGGTGGACAAATGGAAGAGAATAAGAAACAGGCAGATGTTGGCACAGTGAAGAAAGACAGAATTGGAGACTCAAGGGTAATGAGGAACAGCCTGATGTGAGTAGCTGGTGATCCCATGTAGGATCATGGTAGGGTCCTTGCCTGTGCTACCAATGGGAGTCTTAGTCTGTGGCTCTGCAGCAGAGGAAGTCTGTTATCACCAAAGTTCAGGCAGACATCCCTGGTCCCTGGTCTGGTCTGCCACCCAGAGGCATGTTGATGTCTGAGGGCTGTGTAGAATTTGCCCCACCCTTCACCTGGGTATCCTGGAAGAGCTGGCCCTGGGGGCATGAGGGCAGGAGAGCTGACCCAACTCCTAGCCAGCTGCACATTTCTGGAGTTTCAGGTTAGGCTGCCCTGAGGATATAATTGGGGACAGCTGGCCCTGCCAGTCTCCCGTGCAGTGATATGGACAAGGGAGGGACAACCTCCCTCCCCTCTCCCCTTGCAGCAGATGGAAGATCTAGCCCTGGGATCACTCGAGCAGAAGAGCTGTCCCTGCCTCTCACCAGCTGCAGTGCATGGGAGAACAAGTCCTGCACCTCACCTGGGCATCACAGTAGAGTTGACCCTGGTGTTGGGGGCACAGGCAAGCTAGTCCTGAAGGCATGAGTGTAGGACAGCTGGCCCCACCACTTGTCTGCTTTTTAGTGACATAGGTGAGGGAGAGATGCTGCTCCCCACCACCCCTTGCTTCCTACAACAAGCAGTATTGCTGGCCATAAGATCACCAGAGTGTGAGGACTGGCCCTGCACCTCACCTGGGCAGCACAGTAAAGCTAGGCCTAGATGTAAGGGTTGTTGGTGAGCTGGCCCAGGAACTGAGTATGTTAGAGACAGCCCTGCCTCATGTCTGCTGTGCAGCTGTGTGGTTGAGGGAGAAATGCCTGACCCTATCCTTCACCTGGTCAGTAGAGCTGATCCTGATGGCAGAGGCATAAGTGAACTAGCCCCAAGAGTGTGAGCATGGGAGGACTGACTCTAATTTGTCTGCAAGGTGGCAGCATGGATGAGGGAAAGATGCCTTGCACCAGTCTCACCCCTTGCCATCAACAGCAGGTAAGAGAGCTGGCACTGGGATTATAAGGGCAGGAAAGCTGGCCATGCCCCTTACCTGCTACAGTACTCAGTAGAGTGGGCCCTGTACCTCACCTGGGCAGGCCAGTAGCCCTGGCCCTGGATGTGGGGGTTGTAGATAAGCCAGCCTCAAGGGCCTGAGCGCAAAAGAGCTGGCCCTGCCTCTCGTCTGCTGTGCAGTGGTGCAGATGAGGGAGAGATGCCCTCCTCCTCTCCATTGTCCCTTGACACCCATGGCAGGCAGAAGAGCTGGTCCCAGGGTCATGAGAGTGAGAGAACTGGCGATATCCTTCACCAGCTGTAACACTCAGAGGAATGGGCCCTGCACCTCGCCTGGGCAACAGAGTGGAGCTGACCTTGGTAGAAGGGGGTGCTGGTGAAACACACCCAAGGTCATGAGAGCAGGAGAGCCAGTGGGCTGACCAGCTCAGATACTTCTCACACCCAAATCCAGGGCTTTGAATTGGCCCACCCGAACATCTAACCCACCAACAAACTGGTGTGCATGAAGGGGGCCAGTCCTACAGGTCCAAAATTACAAGATCTCCATGACACAGGGCAATAATAGGATATCGAGGAGGAGTCCAAGTAGAGTTGTAGTATTGCTAGAGAGCTAGAGGCCTTATGCCAGACCAAGGCGTCATTGCAATAAACATTTGCAAGCAAAGAAATGTGGACAAAAGGGTATACTGTGAGACACACTGTGACACACTACAGCATCCACAACAAGATTTTTTTTCTCTCTCTCTGTTTAGGGTATGAGGAGTCGGGGAGCTGTGTGGGATTGGGGTGCATAATATGACATCCACAAAGAACCAATAAAAAGCTTTTTTAAAAATTTGCTCCTGCTGTTAATGTTAGCAACAATGACTTAAAACAATACTACTCCCAAAATACCCCTTTCTTTGGACTAAGAGTTTTAAAATTTTGCATACAGTGTTAGGTAAAGGCCACTCCTGCACTTGGGAAGACCATCCTTCTGGAGGAAACTGGCAGCAGTTCTTGAAGAGTGAGGCTGGGAGTGAGGGTTTTTGTTTTGGTTTGGCTTTTGTTCTGGAGAATCAACATTTGACTGGTTTCTGACCTTAAATTCAACACCTACATCAAATAAAATGTATGATGATGGAGAGTGACATACAGTGACATCTGGTAAGGTTATGGGCTTGACAGGACTTTTAAGAATACTGATTTGTCTTGTACACTGTCATTAATATCATTCTTCCAGATAAATACAGTATTTACCCTGGAATGGAAGGAATAGAATAGAAATGTGACTAACTTTCCTAGCAGTAGAAACGAACATTCAGGGATGTGGTATGCAAAGGCAGAAGGTCATCAATGTATTCCTAGTGCAGATGAGAGACAAAAGCCTGTGTCAGAATGTAAGCAATAGGGAAAAAGTCTATGAGTTAACTGTCAGTGTAGACCAGACAATGATACTCTGTTGCAATCATGTTACTGACAGAATTTAGAAAGAAAATTTCTCATACTACACAATGATCAGCTCTCATCTGGAGTACCTGAAGTCTTAAGCATGTACACATATGGGGATGAAGAGATGCTTAGCAATTAAGAGCACTTGCTGCTCTTTCCAAGAACCTAGGTTTGGTTCCCAGTATTCACATGGTGGCTTACAAATGTCCTTAATTCTCATTGAACATATCTAACCTTCTGACCTCCACAAGCACCAGAAATGCACATGGTGCACATATATCCACAAAAGCAAAACACTCATACACATAAAATATTTTTAAATCTTTAAGAATGTACAGATATAGGTTTGGTGATATGGTTCAACAGGTAAAGGTACCTGCCATTAAGCCTGACAACCTGAGTTCAGTCCCTGGACCCTACAAGGTGGAAAGAAGAATGAACTTCTATAAGTTGTCTTCTGATCTCCACATGAATGCTGTGGCACATGTGCCCTTCTACTTCAAAAATAAATAAAAGAATATACAAGTACAGTTAATACTGTCAACTTGATACCTAGGAGGCAAGCTGAAAGGCACACGTGTGAGAGACTGTCTAGATAAGTGGTTCTCAACCTGCGGGTCAAGACCCCTTGGGAGTCATGGCAGATATCGTGTGTATCACATATTAATGTTACTTTTATTTTATTTTATTTTATTTTATTTTATTTTATTTTATTTTATTTATTTTTGAGACAGGGTTTCTCTGTGTGGAGCCTTGGCTCTCCTGGACTCTTTTTTGTAGACCAGGCTGGCCTAGAACTGAGATCCACCTGCCTCTGTCTCCCAAGTGCTGCGATTAAAGGTGTGTGCCACTACCATCCAACTCGTTACGATTCTTAGCAGTAGCAAAATTACAGTTATGAAGCAGCAGTGAAATATTGTTCTGGTTGGGGGTCACCATACATGAAGTATTAAAGGGCTGCAGCATTAGGAAGGTTGAGAACCACTGCTCTAGATGAAGGCACCCTGAGAACTGTGGAGGACTGACTTGACTGAGTTGATGCAGGAAGACCCATCTTAACTGTGGGTGGCATCCTTCCCTGAGCAGAGGATCCTGGACAGTACAGAATGGAGAAGGCAAGCTGAGCACTGGCATGCATCACTGCTCACTGTTCTTGCCTGGGTCTAATGTGACCAGTTCTCTCTAGTTTCAGCCACTGTGACTTCCCTGTCATGAAGAACCAGAATCTGGATTTCTGACTCAGATAAACAGAGTCTCCCTTATGCTAAGCTTCTCCTGGGGTATTTCATCACAATAGAATGTAAATAAACACACAGCTATCAACTGTCACAAAGCATTTAACACATGTGAATACCTGTTCCTGCAGGTCGTAGTCATAGCTGTCATGCAGCAGAAGACTGAGAATATACCGTGAATAAATCATGGCATCAATGCCACATTTCTCGAGCTCTTGTCCCAGCCAGGTTTGCACTGGGCCCAATGCATGAAGCAGAGACATGTCAGAAACAGACACAGGGCCTGGATGAGAACGTGAGGTGCTTTCAGATGGCAAACCATCCACAACAACTGTACAGACGGGGCGCATGAACTTAGGTTGCTGACATCCTTAAAACACAAAGCATTTTGTACAGCGTATGTTGTGTTGGTATCCAGAGAGGGTTTCACTCCAGCAGATGGGAGAGGAGCTGAGCATGGAGGACAGCAGTGACCGCGCAGCAGTCAGCTCTCTACAGCACAATTTCTCTCTTCAGGCATGACCAGTGAATCAACACCATGATAGCAACACACATGGAGATGCCATTTTCAACTTTCATTTCACATTGAAGCCAATGTCAGTCTCTGGCAGTACCTACAGAAATGAAAAAGAAAAAACTGAGTTACATATAAACACAAAGGTATGAGGATGATTTTTATTGACTGACTGATTGGTTTTTCCAGACTGTCTGTCCTGTCCTGTCCTCTAGCAGCCCTGGTTGTTCTAGAACTCACTCTGTAGACCAGGCTGGCTTCAAACTCAAGAGATCTGCTTGCTGGCCTCTGCCTCCAAAGTGCTGGGATTAAAGGTGTGAGCCACCACCATCCAGATGATTTTAAAAGGAAGGTATTCCTCCTTTCAAAATGGAGATGGTAACTTGGAACAAAGTTTTCCCTGTGGAGTATCTGGCATTTTAAACTGGGTGACACTGTAAATTTTAAAACTTAGTATCATCTGGAATGAGAACAAAAAAGGTGGTATTATCTGCTTGTGCCCAATGACACTAACATTCATTTCCTATCTTAAAGAGACCGGACTGGTGAAATGTTTACAGCAAATCACTAGTTCACACTTAAATATAAAGGAAACAACAATTAAATAGCAGTTTTATCAAAACAGTCATAAAAAACAATCCTTAAATTTAAAATTACCAGGCAGTGGTGGTGCATGCCTTTAATCCTAGCACTCAGGAGATAGAGGCAGGCGGATTTCTGAGCTCAAGGACAGCCTGATCTACAAAGCAAGTTTCAGGACAGCAAGGGCTACACAAAGAACTCTGTCTTGAAAAACAAACAAACAAAAATTTAAATTCACAGGTCATTATTTTGTATGGCTAAAAATGAGGCTGGTCATGAGGAAGGTCATAACTAGAGGTGAAGCACGCCTGACTTGCAGACACAGAATGCACTGTTAGACCTGCCGTGGCCTCTCCTAGCTGGACCTCTGATTCAGCAACATTTTTTCTTTAAACACACTTTCAATATGTCCAATAATGGATTTATTAAATAAATTGTTCTTTATCTTTTGGTTCTGGGTTTTTAAAAGTAGAGTCTAGTTATATTGCCTACTAGGAAATGAAAACAGGGAAAGCAACACTGGTCAGCCCAATGTGTTTGTGAGCTTCAGCCACCATGCATGACTCTGAGCAGCATCTACAGGGAAAGGCGGACACTCTCTACAATGATGTAAGCCCGAGTTTCCAGGTGTCAGTAAAATTTACACACTAAATACACAGAAAACAATTCTATACTAAATGGTTTGCTACTTACAAAAATCCTTACTAATATACTACTTTTCTTAAATTGTGAAAGGTAGTTAAATATAAGTGAAGATTTTCATCAGCTGATATTTTCCAGCTGTCTCTCAAAATTAAAACATTTTCTATAAATCATTTACTAAATGTTTGGCCCCCAGACAAGATATCAGACAGATCACAAATTAACACATTCAGTCCTAGTCCACTTGAAGCAAGCTGACAAGTTAGTGAAAACCAGCCAAGACTGAGGGGACTCGAAACAGCTGAAGAGTAAGAGAATCTAGGCATCTTGAACTCACAGAGAGCCCTAGAGAGAGGTCTGCACAAAGAAACATCAGAGACTTGCAATGCGCTGTACTGGAGTAGTCAGCAGATTATTGACGGGTGTGATCATGTAAAAAACTGAGGCACAGTGTTGGGAGCACAAAGGTCTGATATGCAGAACATCATGACCCACAGGTTGAGAAACACTGGCCTTGGTAACCCCTGCGCTATTTGTAGGGCCAGGACATAACCTGGTTCCCCCAAGCTCCCAAAAGCAGGACCAAAAGTGGCTAACAGTCTAGGTGGCCTTTGCATTCTCTACACAGCCAGGGGTTCCCCCAGCGCATACAACCAAGACTAGGAGTAGCTAATAGTCTAAATGACCTCTATGCTACCTGTATGACTGAGACCACCCCAGAACCTCCCTAGGCCCATAAGATGACACATGTAGCCTATCTCTAGAACCCATCTTCATGGAAGAAGTGCACTTTGAAAAGAACTTCAATGTAATTATGCCTCAGGAAACTGTGCACAAGAAAACTTGTTTTTTCAAATTGTACTACATTTAAATATGCCTACAATAAACTGTCCGATGTTAGACTCTAGAAGTTTGAACCAACACCGGGTACTGAGTCATGCTGAATCAGATTTCCTTCTTGCCTCACGTAGATCGTTACAGAGGCCCCCCACAGCACAGGAGGAATCCCTGTGAAGGACGAATCAGTGCCTGATCCTTAATAGCAGCAAGCAGTACCTCCACTCAGGCCAAGAAACTCACAACTCAGGAAGTCTGGTCTTTGTATTTAAAATAATTAGGCACTGTCTAACCCGTAGTCTGATCCTGCTTAACAAATCTTTTGCTGGTTCTTTTTTTTTTAATTGGTGATGGTTGGTGGTAATGTTTTGAAACAGGATCTCATGAAGATCATGATGGCCTGGCCTTGAACTGATCTCTAGACTACATATCCCTAACCTGGCTCTAAAAACCATGTCTGTCCCCAAATAAATCTTACAAGACCCAAAGAACCAAACTGTTTTCAGTTAATTTTACTGTGGTTTCAGAACAAAGCCCAACTATATTTATGGAATCCAAAACCACAAAGACCTGAGAAGATAAAATTTACAATATTTGACAATTATTCAAAACAGGAGACAAAAATCAGAAAAATAAACTCACTTAAACAGACTAAAAACTGACACATATACATACCCAAGTATTTGAATAATTGATATCTAGCTTTTCAAAATTGACAGAAATTAAACAAGCAAGACAGTCAAGGACACCAAGCACATAAAACATGAAGAAAATGGCATAGCACAATAAAATAACTCAAACCTGTAACCAACAGAAAAATCCTAAAGCAGCCAGAGTAAAAGAAAGGAAAACGTGTAAGTGAACAAGTAATGGGGCAAGACTTACAGCACCAGAGCACTCTGTCAGCCCAGCACTCCATATTTATAAAGCTGGAAAGCCAAGGTGAAATAGACTTTTCAGACATGTGAAAACTGAAGGAATTTATTCCCAACAAACATGCTCTACAGGAAATATGACAAGTCCTTTAGGCAAAAATAAAAGTATTCCAACACAAAATGTGGATCTACTTAAAAAAACAAAAACAAAAACAAAAACAAAAACAAAAAAAACAAAGACAGCCAAAGATGTAGCTAGTTTCATTAAATATCTTTTTGTTGTTTTCTCTGTGTAGCCCTGACTGTCCTGGAATTGTCTATAGACCAGGCTACCTTGAACTTGGAGATCCACCTGCCTCTGCCTCCCCAATGCTAGGATTAAAGTTGTGCACCATCACTGCCTCATTAAATATCTTTAGGGGCCAATGAGAAAGTTTTGAAGGTAAAGGCACTCGTCATGGAATCCTACATTCCATACCTGAAATACAGGGTAGAGACCCCTGTAAGTTGTCTCTGACCTCCATGTGCATGCTGTGGCACACATGCAGAGGCACATACATGCCCACACAAATAAACATGCAATACAATTTTGAATCTTTTTTTTATAAAGGAATTATCTTTTAAAATAACTAAATAAAAACAGGCCAGTGAGTGTAGTGGTGTGTCAAGTTCTAGGCCAACCTGGTCTACACAGTGAGTTCCAGACAGCTAGGTCTACATGATGAAGCCCTATCTCAAAACAAAACAAAACAAAACAAAACAAAAATATTTTCATTTATTCTTTGACAATTCCATACATACAATGTATTTTTATTATAGCCAGTTCAACTCCGTCCTACTTCTCTCTGACACCTAAAACAGTCCATTTCCCCTTCCCTTCTTTTCCTTTTATTTATTTTTGTATCCCATTGATCCAATTAGTGCTGCTTGTTGGAAAGCTGACTCATGTAATAGTTTGTTCTTAGGCAGGGAACTATAGCTACAGAGAGCTCGAGTGCAGTATCCATGTCCTCTCACAGCGCTTCTCATCCTCTGGCTCTTACATTCTTTCCAGCCCCTCTTCCATGATGTTCCCTGAGCCTTGAGGAAGGAGAAAATTGATACAATTGTCCCATTCGGACTGAGCATTTAGCAGTCGCTGACTCTCAGCAGCCGGACTTGTTATGAGTCTGCATCAAGTGCTGCCCAGTGCAGCTTCATTAGCCCTACCCTGAATATAAAGATTAAGCAGGCCTACATAGGCCTCAATTTTACAAAGATATTTACTAAGTTAGTATCAGGCAGTAATCTAAGAACAGTCCTGTGGTATGAAAAGAACTGCTGCTAGTGGAGAATTTGTGCCTCCTAGTATAGATCATCAGTTTATTTCAGCTACTTGGCTAGTAAAAATGGAGCTGCTTAATCTTTATGCAGCTCTTCCTGTTGGCATAAAAAGAATACAGTCCCACACAAGTTTTTTTAAATTATATTATCTTTATAAAAAACCTTTATTCATTTCCTAAGACTTGACACACTTCTAGAACAAGGCAGAAAACTAGGCCTACAGAACTGTCCTTTTGTGTTTACTTCTTCAGATACAAAGAAGCAAGGCAACAGCATCAGCCTTGTTTCCAGTGCTAGTGTTTTTGTTTGTCTGTTTGTTTTTAGTTTTTTGTTTGTTTGTTTGTTTTAGTTACATATAGACTTTGGAGGCTGAGTCCTCCTAAAGAGAATGAGAAGTGTCTGCTTCAGAATGTGTGTCAAGGTCAGGAACAGCAAACAAGACTTGTTTTTACAAGTGTGTAATTGCTTCATGTACAGGCACACTTCATGGTTGCTGGGCAAAGAGTGTGCTAAGGTGGGGGGAGCAAGTAAAGCTTGTCTACAAGTGTGTAACTACATCATGTTGTGGGCCTCATGTTAGCTGGGCAGACACTGCTTAGAATTCCCAGCCTCCCCCCACCCTCCCCAAAAAAGCAGCTTCTGAAAGACAGAGTCTTAGGATTTCAGATATCCTTGTTTTTATTCTATTCTGTTTCTTTTTTCCTTCTCTTCTTTCTTCTCCTCCATCTCCACTTACTTATGTTTCAAAAGTACAGTTATTTGTATACGTGTGGATATTTGTGTAGGCATGCATGTGGAAGGTGAGAGGACAACTTGAGAGACTCAGCTCTCTCCTTCTACCATGTGGGTCCTGGGTCCTCATCGTAAGGCTTGGTTGACAAGTGCCCTTACCTCCTGAGTCATCTTTCCATCCATCCATTCATCTATCCTTCTATTAGTGAAAGCCCCATAGATACTCATTTTAAATAACTATGGGAAGAAAATTGCAAGTAATGAAGACCTTTGACTACCAGGTGTGTTAACAAGCAGTGCACTCTTTGTAGCGAGGAAGGACCAGTTAAAACACACTCAGACTTGGGGCATGTACTACAGAAGCACTCCCAGGAGATGTAAGAGTGGCTGAGGGATTCACTGGGAAGTAAGTTGGCATACTTAGGAGTGAAACCAAAGCCCACTAGTAGAGTTAGGGAAATACCGAGGGGAAAATCCTTTGGGCTGTTTTCTTTGTGTTGCCAGTGCTGTGCACAGTTCCTGGCAGCAGAAAGCCTGTGGTACATGTAGGGTGGTAAAGGTGAGTTAAAATCGTGGATGACAGTCTTACATCCCTACTGGTAGACACACAGCGTGACCACAGTTGTTTTCTCCACAAGCTACCATATTGTTATCTCCCAAACCTCACTTTTGAGTTTATTCTCTTGTATTTGGAATAGGAAATCATTGGTTCAACAGAGTTTTGACCACCTGCTAAGGCCTAAGCATTCTGCTGTGTAGGACATGAAGTATGTCACAGTTTTGATTTAAAACCTTGTAGCCTCGTTTGTGAAGAAACCTACCCCAGAAGCCAAAAGCAGCCTATAAGGATGTCATAGGCTCAGTGTGCTGAAATGGTGATTGTCTGTGTGCTGGCAGAGCTGATGGCCTGGAGGAGTTATGGAGGCAGGTGGGTGGACTCCCACTGCTGGTAGCAGTACATTTCAACAGCACTTATACTGTTTGAAACCTTTCTAAGAATAATTATCTTTCCTTTTTTTATGAATCATTCTTTTTTTAAAGTTTTAATCCATTTGTGCTACTGACTCTGCAAGCACTGGGATTTAGCCATGCCTGGCTTAAGATGAAGATGAAGAAAGAAGGAAAAAGAGAAACAAAGGCGGAGAATAGGGTAGAGGAGGAGAAAAAGGAAGAAGTAGAACAAGGATTAAAGCAGAACAAATAAGAGCTAGGTCATATGTGTGATGAGTCAATAAAAGGGAAGGGGTCCCCATCCAATCTGGCCCAATTCTCTATTGCCCCTGCAACTGTCAAACATGCCTAGATCTAAAAGCTTTGATGAAAATCTACTAATGTCTCTGGTTTGAAAAGCTACATACACAAGAAAACCTTGTGTACCTTCTCACTTTACAATAATCAGTGTAGATGCTCAGTTCACATAGATGTGTTGGATGCTAAGAACTTCAGTGGGACTACTAAATTACAGTTTATATGCCCTTAAAAAAATTTTTAAGTTTTTTTTGAAGTTTTCGCTAGCAGGGGTAAACTTCATATTCAACAGTTTATAAAAATTTTTGTAAAACGTGGGCCAAACGAAAGGGGAAAATGTATATGTAACTGAGATAGACAGCTGTGCTAAAGCAGAAAGTCACAGCCACCAAACAAAATCCCAAAACAAAGAAAGTTCAGTGGGATGGAATCCTAAAATTTTTGTTTGAAAAATAATGAATGAAAATGAAATTATGGCAGGTGAGATGGTTCAGCAGGTAAAGGTGCTTGCTGAACAAAACTGGCTACCAGAGTTCAATCCTGGAACCCATATAAATGTGGAAGGAGAGAATCAACTCCACAAAAATTGTCCTCTGACCCTCATACACACACCAAGGCATGTGCAGCAACACACACACACACACACACACACACACAAATAAAAAAATGTCTTTAATTTTAAAAACATAAAATTGATGAAAACTACTGGAAAATTAAGCAACTAAATTAATTTATTTTTATTTTATGAGCATTGGTATTTAGCCAGCATGTGTGTCTGTGTGAGGGTGTCAGCTCTTGGGGTTACAGACAGTTGTGAGCGGCCATGTGGGTGCTGGGAATTGAACCTAGGTCCTCTGGAAGAGCAGTCAGTGCTCATAACTGCTGAGCCATCTCTCCAGCCCCCAGCAACTAAATTTTATAAAATTAAAACTTTAATTAAAAGAAAGTAGCTTTACTCTAAAACACGCATTAAAAATGTCTATAGTGTCCCTGCCCTAGACGCACTGCGGGTGCGGCTGCTGTGTCACATGTGCCTCAGTAGGTGGCAGAGAGGAGAGAGGCTATGCCTACCCTCAGTGTTCTGGCCTATGAACCTGAAGGATTAGTAGCCTAACATTCCCTGAAAAAAGGTGAGCCCAAGATGAACACCAGTCCTGCACCAGGGGGCCTGGCAGAGATGACCACTATCTGGCTCCCAGGACAGCGAACAGCCAGAGACTAAAAGAACTACTAGGCAGCAGTGAGCCTGAGACAGATGACCCTCACAAGGGGCCACCCGGGTGGGCCAGGCAAGAAGTGAGCCTGAAAGGACCACCAGGCCAACCTGTACATGAGGCCGCAGAAAGGGACCAAGCTTGAGATGACCACTAGTCCAGTGCCATGTAGGCCTTAGGAGGCAGATGACCCCTGCCTAGAGCCATAATGTATGAGCAGGGCATAGCACTCCAGAGACCACTCCTGAGATGACTCCAGACACTCAGAGACCCTGGGCACCAGTAAGAGGAGAAAGTAAGTGGTGGAGAAATGGAAGAGAACAAGAAACAGAAAGATGTAAATACAATAAAGAGGCAGAGACTCAAGGGTAGTGAGAACAGCCTGATGTGAGTAGCTGGTGATCTCACCTGGAGCCATGACTGGATCCATGGCTCTGCAGCAGCAGAAGTCTGTTACCACCAAAGACCATGTGGACATCCCTGGTCTGGTCTGCCACCCAGGGACATACTGGTGTCTGAGAACAGTATAGAACTGGACCCATCTTTCACCAGGACATCCTTGGAGAGTTTGGCCATGCCCCTCACCAGCTGCAGCACTTGGGAGAGCAAGCCCTAGATATGAGAGTTGCAGGTGAGCCAGCCCTGAGGATGTGAGCACAAGAAAGCTGGCCCTGCTTCTTGTCTGTTGGGTGCTGGCATAGACGGATGAAGAAGATGCCCCCTTCCCTTCCCTAGTCCCTAGCCATTTATAGCAGGCAGGAGAGCTGGCCCTGGGGTCATGAGAGCGGGAGAACTGGCCATGTCCTTCACCAGATGCAACACTCAGGACAGTAAGCCCTGCACTTTGCCTGGGCAACAGGGTAGAGATGACCCTGGTTGTCAGTGGGATGGTGGGGTGCAGAGGTAGGATTGCCAGGGAGCTGGCCCTGAAGGCATGAGATCGGGAGAGCCAGTGGGCTGACCAGCTCAGATACCTCTCAGGACCAGATCCAAGGCTTTGAATTGGCCCACCCCAACATCTACCTCATCAAGAACTGTTGGAGTGAATGAAGGAGCTGGTCCTATGGATCCAAAACTACAAGATCGCCATGACACAGGGCAACAACAGGATACCCAAGAGAAGTGCCAGTGAGCTTTCAGTATTGACAGCGTAGCAGAAGTCAGAGGCCTCACACCAGACCAAAAAGTCATTGCAGTGAACATCTGCAAGCAAAGAAGTGTGGACAAAAGGGTCTACTGTGGGACACACTGTGACACACTACAGCTTCCATAATGAGTTGGGTTGGGTTTTTTTCTCTGTTGGGTGAGAGGTTGCAAGGGTGGAGGGTGAGCATAAGGGGTGGGGAAGATGAGTGGGATTGGGGTGCATGTTGTGACATTCATAAAGAACCAATAAAATGTGGTTTGTTTGTTTGTTTTAATGTCTAATTTGGGATGGCAGTGTACATCTTTAATCAAAGAGGCAGAGGCAGAGGAAGAAGAAGGCAGATTTTTGTGAGTTCAAAGCTAGCCTGGTCCACACAGTGAGTTCCAAAACAGTCAGAGCTACATAGTGAAATTTTTGTTTAAAAAATTTTTTTTTCCCTAAGCTAGTTTACCTAGAAACAAACAAAGGGTTTTTGGAATGTCTGTAATTGTAAAACATGATGAAACCTGTAGAGAACTGGCAAATAGGTCAAAGAATTCACTCTTCAGACCAGAGCAGAAAAGCACATCTGTTCAGTACACTGACAGTGCAGGACAAGAACAGGAATAGAACACCGGCCAGACCTGCTCCAGGCCTGCTTGCTGAAGGTGAGATTGGAGGGCTATCTACCTTCAGCTGAAGTAACCAGCCAAGCAATTCTGGCCATGCGGATGAAAGCAGTTTTGATTGATCAATGTTACAAAGCAAGGTTGCAGTTAACTGAAAGCTGTCCATCAAATTAATTCATTTAGTTGTTCCTGCAAAGCTGCCACTTTTTTTTTTTTTTCAGGACACTTTCTGGACCAGCCGCACATTGTGAAAGCTGCTCCATAGGCACCTGTTATCTTTCTGTTTTCTCAGCTATGGATGTTCCTCCACAAAACTTACTCTGACAAAGTTGAAAAACATTTTATCATGTAAAATATTAGCTCATAATATGCATATAATTTTTCAATGTGAAATTCTAACTTGTCAAAGTGCCTAGGCATAAAACTTATACAATTGTGAACTGTAAAATATACTAAGGCAAAACACATAAAATAATAAAATAAAAAATAAGCGTTATGGACTAGAGAGATTACTTAGCAGTTAGAGAGCTTGCTAGTCTTCCAGAGGCCTCCAGTCCAGTTCCCAGTACCAATACCAGGCAACTCACAACCGCCTGTAATTCCAGCTTATAGGTTTGGCACCTGCACATGTGTGGCAGACACACAGATGCTCACACTCAAAATAGCAAATCTTTTTAAAAATTTTATTTATTATGGATACAATGTTCTGTCTGCATGTACACCTGCACACCAGAAGAGGGCACCAGATCTCATTATAGATCCACTATGATGTGAGCCACTATGTGGTTGCTGAGAATTGAACTCAGAACCTCTGGAAGAGCAGCCAGTGCTCTTAACCTCTGAGCCATCTCTCCAGCCTGCAAATCTTTTATTAAAAAAAAAAAAAAAAGAGTAAGTTTTCTAACAGCTACTTCTACCCAAAACAACATTACAGCATACTCATTGCAGTGGGAACCTCAGAAAGGTGGAGCCACCAGCCCGTTCCGCCACAAGGCAATGTACGAACCACTCTCACCAATGGAATTACCCACCTTATTATTGAACCTACAAAAACTGCGAGCCAAATAAATCTCTTTTCTTTGCAAACAGGCCACCTCAGATACTTCATTTAAGGCAATGAAAAAACTTGTTAACACACACAAAATCTTTTAACTAACTGGACTTCAGCTTTAAGCTTATCCTAGCATCCACAAAAACAGACAAGTGAGGTGGCACATCTGTACCTGCAGCAACTTGGGAGGATGAGGCAGGAAAAGCCCAAGTCTGGGGTTCAGATGGAGAATCTACTCCCACCATACCTCCCCCAAAAGATACTGTCAGGCTCAACTCTGAAATAGAGATGCATTAGCTATTACTTCAAAGGTGCAAACACAAGTGAGTGAGAAACAGACTCCAGGGTAAAAGGAAAGCAAATCCCTCCCTACTCGTTTAAATATCTTTACCCCAACTGCATACCACTAACATGCGTGTACACAAACAGCCAGACAGACACACATATCTAAAAGTACACTGTGGGATAATTCCTTTTTTATTTTTAAGAATTATTTATTTTACATATATGGATGCTGTATCTGTAGGTTACTTGCATGCCACAAGAGGGCATCAGATCACATTATAGGTGGGTGTGAGCCACCATATGTTTGCTGGGAATTGAACTCAGGACCTCTCGAAGAACAGCCAGTGCTCTTAACCACTGAGCCATCTCTCCAGCCACGTGGCATAATTCTTTATACTCATTTACCCTCATATGTTTTACTTTTTGTTGTTTTTTTTTTTTTATAATTTATTTAATTTTCTTTAATTTTATGTACATTTAGTGTGAAGGTGTCAGATCCCTTAAAAGTGGCATTACAGACAGTTGTGAGCTGCCATGTGGGTGCTGGGAATTGAACCTGGTCCTTTAGAAGAGCAGACAGAGCTCATAAGCACTGAGTCATCTCTCCAGCCCCTCTCATATGTTTTACATTCCACAGAATCAACTGACTCATGTTAACTATTTACTTGGCCACACCCCATACGCCGCCCCCACACCTCACATTTATACTCAGGCTTGAAACATGCACAGCCAAAGATTCTCAAGCATTCTGTATTCACTGCCCCAGTGTCTTTATTTGTAACACAGACAACAAGCTCATCTGCTGGGACAATACTATCATTCCCAAATCTCTGGAGCAGATTTTAAGAGATTAATAATACATAAGTTCCAATGACCAAGACACTCCCGATAACATGCTACTCCAGGGAAGGAGCTCCATGTTACATTCGTACCAACATTACCACTTCTGAAAACTTAATCAGTACAGCACATACACTTAAATTGCATCAATATTTAAAGTGTCAACATTCAAACATAATTCCTTACCTATCTGTACCCAATCCAATGGCTGGGGTGAGGGGATGCTGACAAGACAAAGAAGAGACAAATGGCATGGATAACACTTAACAACAGGGAAGATTTTTGGAGGTTTCAAGAACTATCCCCCAAATACATTTCCACTCACTTTCCTAAGCCATATGCAAAAACTTGCTTACCTACAGATAAGCTTCCTTGTTTTCAAGATAGTTTAGGATTCCATACTGAATCAGTGCAAAAGCCCTCTCCCATTCATCCCTAAGGCAAATAAGGAATGTAGGTACAGCCAGAGAAATCACCTCTACTTTCTGTACAGGTGTTAGAATTAAATCTGTGGGCACTGTCAAAATAAAGTAGTGTGAAGAAAGCCAGGCGTGGTGGCTCACGCCTTTAATCCCAGCGCTCAGAAGGCAGAGACAGGCAGATCTTTGAAAGTTCAAGGCCATCCTGGCCTACATACTGAGTTCCAGGACAGCCAGAACTACATAAAGAGATCCTGTCTCAAAAACAAAAAACAAAAGTATTATAAGCAATTAAACAACTCACTTAATACTCATGATTTGATTTTGGTATATCCTCTGCAGACGCCTGTTTTAATGGCTTAGTTCACAGTTGGTGGCATAATTTTGGGAGGCTTTGGAACTTTTGGCAAGTGGGGCCTAGCTGGAGGAATAGGTCTCTAGGAACGAAGACTTAGTTCCTTGAGGATATGCTATCCTGACCAACCTATCTCTCCATCTGCGTCATCTTCCATCATGATGTGTACAGCCTCTGCCCCATGCTTCTATTGACACTC